TGGCACATCAACTCTAACAATGCTGTCCGGGCATCTCTGAGTAGCTATTTCAGGTGTGTGTAAATGACAGTGGAGAGGCATTGATTTTGCTGCTTGAAGAAATTTAACTGCCACACTTGTTGTGGCTATGAGAGGGCTTTGATGGGGGCAGGTGCTCGGAAAAGTATCAGCACAGGGGAGAAATTTAAATACTTGACAAAAACCACTTGCACGTTTTTTTCACATCCTGCACATTCATGTTCTTCCTTTCTTTTGTGCATGTTAATCTCTGTTTTTTCTCTTCTCTCCATTACCCCGCACCCCCACCCCACCCCCATAATACACACTGAATGCAGGCAACAAAGTCCTTGTGCAACCTTGTTTTACTCCTCTATACAGTGCTCTTCAATATTTTCTTCCTTCTCCTGTTTATCCCTTTTTGACATCATCTTCTTAAAAACCCATTAATTGTCCTCCGGAAGCCGTTTTWTAACTTTTTTTTGGCTTTGACCTTTACTTTAAACTAGAACCCAGCCTTACCAGGCTAGTGACATCATGGCCACCTAATGTGCGGAAGCAGCTCATGTCTCACTAATGATCCAGTGCCTGCTGCTTACGTTTGTTTCCACTCTCCTTCCCTGTTTMTTTTTTGCTGCAGTGCTGAGATGAATTTGCTGATAACATCACCCTCACTTGCCTGTTCTCATTCTGATGAAACTTGAAGTGATATATATGTGGCCTTGGCCACTGCAGGGGTTTTTGTGCGTATGTGTTTTTTTTTTTCCTGAGTCTGCACTTTTTAAGCACCCAGGAAACGAGTGAAGACCTAATGCTGTAGGGGGGAGTGCATCTGAATGTATATGGAAACATGTTAAAATCAAAGTGACCATGATTTTGTCAATCTAACTCACATGTATTAGCCTCTCTTTTCATAAAAAAGAAAAAGTTAAAAGCTATAATGTACATTAAACTTGTCTTGTCCGCCTAAGATAACCCACCACTTCTAGTAATAGCTTTGTTCCCCTTTTTTTGGCAAATGGGGATTATTTATGTGCCCTCTTAGTATCATGACAGCATCAAAAGAGAAAACAAACACACCCTTGAGCATGGCCTTAATGAGGACAGGATCTCCACTGGCTGCCTGAGTGACACTGTAGGTCTTTTCTGCAGCTGGCAGCTCCACAGGAAACACTGTTCAAGAGACAGTTTTGCACTGGTGCATTGGTWAGAAGCATCAGTTCTCTCTAAAAGCAACTTTTGTCATGAACATGCATTGCAACAGAAACAGATCACAGACAAMCATCAYTGTGTTTTGTCTGAGGAGCTGATGWTGCTCRCCTTTGACCGGTTAGACCACCCAGACAGATAAGAAACACGGAAATAAATTCAGTCATTAAAGTATATGGACCCCTTTTTCAGAATGGTTCTTGGCAAGCAACTGAACACCCAGCAGCAGAATAACAAATAAGTGTGAATATATTTCATATTACAAATTATACTTCTGAACAGCATGATAATTTAATAAAATGAAAACCTTTTTGGAGACAGGTACACAATTTATAATGTGAAATCTATGGAGTAAGAGAACTGTCAGAATTATTGTATGTGTAAGAGTCTAAATTTGTTCATGTAAGTCTATAAACGAACATAAATTTGTTACAACTTTGCCACATTATAAGTACAAATCAAATTTACAAGTACAATTCTTATGTGAGAATACAAGTTTTTAAGTTACAAATACAAGTTAAAAAGTTACAACTTTGCCACATTACAAGTACGAATCAAATTTACAAGTACAATTCTTTTATCTGTCAAAATAAGACATTATGCATGGAACACCGAAAAGGTCGATTGCAAACAGTAACTAAGCCAGACCACTAGGGGGACATGACCACTGACTCATTTGGGACCATAAACTCTTATTAAACACAACAATTTGCTGAAGGGAAAAGCATTTGGAGGCTTTTCAGTTTGTCATTCATGTCATGTAGTACAGCAATAAAGTAGATAGTGGATTTATGATGAAATGTTATTTAATTTTTACTTTAACCCTGTCTTATTTAATCTTTTAAAATATTTTATTCAATTCCTTAAACAGAATCCTGCTTTTATGAGTCTTTTTTGAACATTTATTTTATTTTTCTATATTCTTATTTTTCTTTTGCACTTTGTCAAAATGTTTTGTTTGTGTAAAGCACTGATTTGTCTTGTTGCTGAAATGTTTTATGTAAAGCTGCCTTGCCTCAGGTCAGCAGCACAATAATTAATATACAGTGGAGTGATGATGAAATGTTCCAAATTATTTATAGACCATATTTTTCAAGTAACTTCTCTTTAACTTATGATACTGTTAACACTACTCTACACTACTAATGAAGACTGGAGCCAGGTGGAGAACAAACCTTCAGATGGTTGAAGTACAGGTGGAGACGTCTTCATGACCTGCAGAACATCAGGACTGATGCTGGAGTTTTCTGATACATGTGTGCATTAAGGTGTCAGAAATACTCAGAAACACTATGACAGGCCAGAGCAGGGAGATGAAAATGAATCAATGAAAATATTAATTTCATTTTAGTGACCGTTGAAAGAAATATCAGTAAAAAATAATTTGAATAAAAATATGTCACAATGTAGTAGTAATAATAGTAGTACACTCTATTATATGTTAAAACGTGTTATTTGTGATACGTTTCATTAAACATTTTAACAATTTACTGCCCCCCCCCCTTTTTTTTTTACTATATTCATTGTTTCATCTATCACTCACAGCTCATAGTTAGGTAAAAACAAAAGTGTTGACTATTTAAATTTTTTTATTTATTACAGTAAAACCATCAATCAATGTCAAATAAATGAAAACTTCTAGGTAAGCTTTAATACAAACAGATTAAACATGTTGAGTTTAAAAAATATGTCAATAAAAAATATGTCATGGCCTGGTGTTTGACTTCCTCAGCTCTAAACAGGACATTTTAAAACTGTACATTTGCATTAACTGAATTTTTCAGCTGTCATGAAGGCTTTAAAACCCAGATGGACAGATTTTGTTCCAGTGTCTCCTCATCCTGCTGCTGGTTCAGTTCTTCAGACTGTCAGGAACTCCATGACCTCCTCATCCACCTGCCTGTCAGAGGTGTGGATGTAGAGGACATCTGTCCTGGGTCCATGGATGGGCTGAATGCTGCTCGCTGCATCAACTGCACTTATCTGGATCACAGAAAATCGACAGGTCAACAGGACTGATTTATTTTAACTTTATTTAATGAATTATATTAACTTCATTTCTGTTAAGTTTACAATACAACTATTTGACCTGAAGTGGGGTGGAACTGGCTTCCATTGGTTGTGGTCTCACTGATGGAGCCTGATGGTCTCAGTCCTCTGATACAAAGGTCTGGAGACAGGTTCTCAGTGGGTCCACAAACAGATTCAGGTCCATAATTAAAAGTAAATTGAAAAGAGAACAGTTATAGTATCACACAGTCACAGCTAGCAGTCTCATTAATCAGACAGTAAACATTTTTCTACATACGTATATTGGTCACTGAAATCTGAAGGAAGTGGTTTGGTAGTAGTTAAAAATAGATTAACTTAGTTAAACACAGTTTAACTTTGATTTATAGTGATTCTAATTAAAATCAATGTCCGTGTAGTTCTGACAAAGCTTTAAAAATGTAGCCAACAAGCTTTTAATAAACAAAACAAAATATAGTCAGAGAAAGCTTTTTAAACTCACTGTTAATCAATTAGGTTTTTGTTCTTTTCAAGCTGTTCTAAATAAACTTAGACTGAACAGGAAACATGAGGCTGTTTTTTCTTTCCTACTCGTATCATCATGCTAACATTGACACCATGCTAACAACAACAATGAACGAAGCTCTACTTTCAGTATAGAAACTGTTTAAACACATCCTCTTACAAATACTGACAAGTACTACGTGTACCAAATGTGAAATAAATAATACAAACTACTATTAAAAGTAAAAAGAGTTTAACTTACAGTTGTTTAGGGGTTTGATGGTGGGCCACTTGAGTCACCCTGCTGGACAGGTCAGAGCACTGCCGTTATGTGTTTTTGAACATGCATTATTTTTTCCATTATGCAATCGGTTTTATGAATGTATCAGTTTTCTTTTTTGGTTGTTCATCATAAATCCACTATCTATTTTATTGTTGTATTACACGACATGAATGACAAACTGAAAAGCCTCCAAATGCTTTTCCCTTCAGAAAATTGTTGTGTTTATAAAGAGTTCATCTGGTCCCAAATGAGGCAGTGGTCATGTCCCCCTAGTGGTCTGGCTTAGTTACTGTTTGCAATCGATCTTTTCGGTGTTCCATGCATAATGTCTTATTTTGACAGGTAAAAGAATTGTACTTGTAAATTTGATTCGTACTTATAATGTGGGAAAGTTGTAACTTTTTAACTTGTATTTGTGACTTAAAAACTTGTATTCTCACATAAGAATTGTACTTGTRAATTTGAGTCGTACTTGTAAATTTGATTCGTACTTGTAATGTGGCAAAGTTGTAACAAATTTATGAAGGTTTATAGACTTACATGAACAAATTTAGACTCTTACACGTACAATAATTCTGACAGTTCTCTTACCAGATAGAAAGCTGTTTTCACAAATACCACTCACAGTTCAACACATTTAATTACCTATAAAACCTCATTTTCTGTTCAAAATACAATTGCATAAACATAATAACACCAATTAGTGTAACATGCAATGCTTAGCAAATTCTAAGAAGGTGTGGGTTTTGATGGTACTTTGCTTATTTTTCTCACTACTTACTAAAATCTTGGCATCATTTTAACAACTTTACCACCATCTCAACCCAAGTGGATTTACATAACATAAAGTGTAGATGCAAATGTATACTGTGTGCTTACCATTATGTAAGGTTTTAAATATACATTTGCAAGTGCATGCATATCAAATCTGTCACGGTGCATGCATTTGAATTTTGATGACTGAGATAGCACTGCAACAGGAAACCCATAGATGTACCTTTGTCAAGAGAGGCATCTGGAGAGTTGAAATCCATGAGACTGCTGATTTCAGTTTTGTAGCAGAGGTCTGTGGCTGGTGGCTTCTGCTTATGGTGGGGAGAGGAATCTGTAAGAACAAAAAACAACAAGGGGTTAATTTGATAGATGGTAAAAGGATTATTAAAGCCAAATGGATGGCATGTACTGCATTTAAGCAGCAATATTTTACTGTTCACACAAAACTAAATGAGAGAAAAACTGATGTAAACATAATTTGCATAAACATACGAAGCATCAAACTGCTTGAAGTTTAAAGCTTTTCTTTTGTGGACAAAAATATCCCATAGGTTTTCCTCACTCCTACTATAAAACAATCTACCATTCATTTCAGGGAACAACATGAATCCTTGGTGAAAGTAAACACACACATGCTTTAACAATCCAAACCAAGCTAACTGAGTGACTGCAGGCTCATGTAAATATTAGCATTTTTATGATCAGAGTCTAATTTAATTTCTGGTGATGTTCAGTGGTTTCTAATGCAGTTTTTGCTTTTCACCCCATGGCCAATATTTAATGCATTTCGAATAAATTGCTTTGGGTCAGCTCACAAAAAAATGCTTACTAAAAAACCCACCAGCACATGCAGTAAACTTCTGCCATCCTCCTAAATTAACTCACAGCTGCCAATTTTAGGAGAATAACTTCTTTACTTAGCAAACAAGTAAAACAGCCTGCAGCCTTTAAGATACTGCTTTGGTAATAACCTTAAAAATATACAGTATATGTATACAATGTAGTGAAATGCATCTCCTCCAGCTCAGTCTTCAACCTCTGCCCCTTTTTTGGCCTCTCCCTCGCTCTCTTTCTCTTCCTCCTGCCATCATCCCACCGCCCACCTATTAAGATGCTTTTACTGGTGAATAACTTACAGTAATTGAGCACAGATGTGTTTGAAACCTGAAATTTTAGGTGGGGGTGCTGTCATAATGACAGCATTAGCCATCTCTTTTTCTTTTCTTATTTCGTTTTTTTAATAAGCAATAAAAGTCAAAATGGAAAAGTCTGACTGTCCCCATTTAAGGTAGGTGGTAAAAGGACTAGAATGGGGGCTTTCATCATGGCTGGTTTAATTTTTTTTTTTTTTTGTCCCTACAAGAATATGATTTTTCAAAGCAAGAGCAGCCTGGGGCAACAAAAGCCCACCTGACAGTTTTGTTGAGTGATGTTAAAATTTTCTATGCGCACTATTTTACTGGATTCATGGTGCTGGTGCAGCTCTGCAGCTTTGAGAATTGTTTTATCTTCCTGACGTTGTACCTTTTGACAGGCACTTAAAGATATTTGGAAACTCAAGGGAAAAGGAAAACGTACCAAGAAAGATGAAAACTACTACAATGACTGCTCGATAATTTAGGAGAGGAAAAGCTGATTTGGAGAAAAAGAACCAAATTATAAAGAGGTGCGAGCTCCAGTGACAGTCTATTTACTAAAGTTTATTTAGTCAAGTGAAAGTTTTATTCACCGAATATCCAAATAATAAGAAATTCACCAATTTAAGACTATTTTTGGAACGTTGTGCTACACCTTGATTCACTCAAAATTATGATTTTTAGCAGTTCAACATATCATAATTCAACTTAAAGGGGGAGGTGTTATGCAAAATCAACTTCTTTGAGCTTTGTAATATGATGTCAAATACCAACCCAGCATGTTGCTTTGACTCATTCATGCATATTTGAGGAATCATTGAATGTCCTGTGGCAACCATTGGTAAAAAGCACTGCCCATTTGCACAAGCACCACCTAGTTACACAAAGCACCTCCCCAGTGCTCGGTCTGCAGCCGACCGCCCGCCCCACAGAGCACCCCTCCATCAAAGCATTGCTGTGAAGACATGCTGAAGTGGGAGTGTCTGAAACTGTAGGAGGTTCTTAAAGAGATAGATGTCAATTTCTTGGAGAATAATGAGTACCCCCCCGCCACACACACACACAGAAGTAAAGATTTTCAATTAAACTTAAGAAATGAGAGATCTAAGTTCTTTTGATTGTTTTTATTTTTTTCAAAATTTGTGATTTCAGAATTTTATACATAAAGTCCTACGAAGTAGTAGTAGTAAACCCAACACTCTCTGATCTCTTAAAAAAACTAATAAGGTCTGATTGTCTACTTCAGTCTTTAGCTCGGCTAACTAGTCAAAAAGGCTTCGAGCAATGAGGTAAAAAATATTTAGAAGAGATGAAGAAGTGAACTGATCATCTGTTTTGTTGTTCTGGTTCTCTGCGTTCCGCGCTGCACCTTGAAGCAGATTGATGCCTTCTGTCAAACTTGTTGTATAAATCATGTTTGAGGTGATCTGCTAAGGATTTGAGATAAGAGCATCATTTCCTCTGTCTGCTTCCAGCCTATTTCCCTTTGTTGCTCATTTCCTCATAAGCCAGCAGAAATATTGTTTCATGAAAACAAAAAATCCACAACTATTACACCCCACATTAAATTTAAGGCTGTAAGTTATTTTAAAAAATGTGGAAAATGTAAAACAATTCATCTACTGAAAAGTGTACCAGAAACCTGTTTTCGTGTGGTCATGAATGTCACTGCTACACATGATCATGTTATTAAGTTTCATATTCTTTGGGGCCATGGAAAAGATCATTTGTCTTTGTTGACATTCTTTGACTCTATACAAATATAAGCTTCTTAAAACTAAAAATGAAAGACAGTTTAAGATGTCTTCAGTGACCTTTGTCAGACTGCTGATCCCTGTGGACATTTCAGCAACCTTCACACTGTTGGAGGTTAACTTGCATACAGAACTACTGTGAGTCTTTGCAAACAACCCCCCTGTTGTTCTTTCTGTCAGCGGGGATAACAAACTAAAAATACTGCTTTTTTTCTCTCACAGCAGAGTCACCCAAGCTTCATTTAACCTGACTGAGTCTRGAGGATAATCCTATTCAAGCTATACTTTTTATTGTGATTTTTTTAAAGAAGTCATTAGAATAGAAACAGCCTTTATTGTCCTGCGGAGGGGAAATTCAAGAAACATTTTTATTTTTCAAATGATGGTTCATAAAGTTGGAGCAACTAATCAAATGGAAAAAAAAACACCTTTTCAGTTTGACAAAACTTGTTTTCATTATTTCACTGGTACAAATAGGTCCCTTTAAATGTTTTTGCTCAATAAACACAAAATGACAACTTCTTAATATTTGCTCACAAAAGCGATTGTTTTGTCAAGGACACCATGGTGTTATTCACCAAAACACAAGCTAATATTTTGCTTTCTTTTCAGTAAGCAAAATTTACATTGTGACAGAGTGCATTTAAGGCCAAAACCATGACCAGCTAATGGGTTTACTATCTTTGCTGTCCGCATCAGACCAGTTTTGGCATCCAATCACAGCAAAACAATACGAGAGAACAAAACTCAAAGTCCTGTAGCTTATTCCACCTCTGATCTCCTAATACGAGTTGTCCTTTGATCGGGCAGTGTTTGCTCTTGGCAACAGACACATTCTGCGTGCCAGTGATCCTCCAGGCTTTTTATAAAACGACAGAATTTAAGCCATGGACATGAGAAGAGATGGATCAATCAAATGAGAAGTGTAATGATTGCTGATGTCAGTTGTGATCCGAAGAAACAGTTCCAACCACTTCACTCGTAATAGAACTTGTGTATTTTCATGCAGTGACTTGGTGTTTTAATAAACAAATGAAAGAGGACTCTCATGCTGTATTAAGAAGTTTAATGACTGAGTAAAGCTCAACATTTATCCAGCTACTGCACAAGAACATAGTCTTCACTGTTCAGAGGGGTTTTTTATGCTGAAATAATAGTATATTGTATTCTTGACACAAGTGAGCCAGGTTGCACCAGGAGAGCTAGAGCTAGCTGCTGCTATTTGCACTGCAAATAACTATAAAAATCTAGGTAAATAATCATGTAACATGAAATTAGGGTTGCCAACTCAACCCCTCTAAAATACGGGACAGCTGCACAGGGACACTAGGGACACTAGACAAATGCCTACCTGCCAGCAGGATGGTGATGGCTCTGATTGCAGGCTGCAGTCCGAGGAAGAGTATCCTGTACAAGACACTTCAATTTGACAAAAAATACAGGACATCTGGGCTAAAACGTGACAGTTGGTAACCCTATGAACTGGAATGAAGCTGAACAACAGAGTTTTGAAGATGACCAATACCTACTTTGGCTTTGACCTCTCTCAGGCTACCCATTAGCTTATCATTCCAGGCAGCATCAACTCGATTTCTTCAAATTGGGATTGTTTAAAGAGCAATCTACAACAGATAAGATGCTGATAACCTCTGCACAGAGCCCTACTTAAAATATCTGAGCTATGTTAAATTCTCAATTAGAAATAACTAACTTTTTTTGTGTTCACACTGCTCACCCTGTCTCACATATCCCTCTTGCTGTTCCTTCACCACGGGTCTTCTTCCCTTAAGCTCAGTGACTCCATCACTCCGACGCTGGCTGTCCTTTTCTTCTGCACATTTTTTTTCTGTCACTCTTTAATAGGGTTCTCCCAGCTCTTCTCGCTTTTTAGCCAACTCTACCTTATCTGCTGGCACAGCACAGGGAGAGGCGGTGGATGGAACAAAAGAAGACCTTAATGAGTTGTGGAGGTGATTAAGGAATGAATAGACCTTGCTGCTGGAACCCTCACCACACTGTCCATGTGTCCTGCCTCAGTCTGTAAAGTGCAGATAGACACAATGCCTTGCTTTTTTTATTTTTTATTTTTTTTACATCTGCCACTAGCCTTTAATTGCCCCGACATTCACAGGTCCCAAAGCTGCCGGACTTGAGATAAAGCTCTCATATTCATGCATTAATCACTGCCAGTCAGGACGGGCCTCTCCACCCACGTTTCACCTGCCTCAAGACCTCAATTCAAGGTAGCCTATAAATATCCTGCAGATAAATGGAGCTAATGGATCGAGGTGTGATTGCAGGGAGTCGGTGCTCAATGTTTAACCACCCACACTAAAAAGCCCGGATCTCAAGATGCCTCGTTGTCAATTCATATTGTAATGAAAGAGCTGCTGAATGTTCGGGGCTCAGATGTTATTAGTTGGTGTCAGAACTCAGGAGAC